AATATAAGGTAACAATACCACAAGAAAACAAAGCATCATAACACAATATAAGGTAACAATACCACAAAAAACAAAACAAAGCATCATAACACAATATAAGGTAACAATACCACAACAAAACAAAACATCACAACACAGTATAAGGTAACAATACCACAACAAAACAAAAGACCACAACACAATATAAGGTAACAATACCACAACAAAACAAAAGACCACAACACAATATAAGGTAACAATACCACAACAAAACAAAAGACCACAACACAATATAAGATAACAATAACACAACAAAACAAAGCATCACAACACAATATAAGGTAAAAATACCACAACAAAACAAAACAAAGCATCACAACACAATATAAGATAACAATAACACAACAAAACAAAGCATCACAACACAATATAAGGTAAAAATACCACAACAAAACAAAACAAAGCATCACAACACAATATAAGATAACACAACAAAACAAACAGTATATTCGTCGTAAAACGAAGACTCATTCCTCCTGAACGTATGTACATAATAAACCTGTCATAAGAACGAACAGATAAACTACTTTGTAGCAGCTGTTTCAGTTCTCTGTTAGAAGGCCTATCAACAACTAGCTAAGTTTAACCAATAATTAAACTCGTGTCTTAAAGACTTTGAATATCGCCAAGGGGTACAACGATACAAGTATTATATAAATCTCATTGGGCAAGAAATTGGTCACGTGAGAAGAAAATCGATTTTGTGATTGGAGAGAAGACAAACGACAGACTCTTAGTTTCAAGACAGTTCTGTTTATATCTATGAAGGGGGTGTCAGACGATGTTTGCTAGTTAGGCAATCGGCCCAATATTCTGAAGCTGTTAGTATAATTAATCAATAAATATTGATATTCTGAACTTACCCTGTCTCGCTATAAATTACGACAATCGCCAAATAGAGTTAAGTCATACAGGTATAGTGTTGCATGAACGTCTTATTGTCATAAGCAAGGAGGTCAAGTTGAAACGAAAACATTTCCACTGTTTTACATGAAATGGTACAACAGGTGTGTTAAAAAAGACAAATCCACTACAGTTGAGGCTCTCTATACTCTACACAAACTGTGACAAAACCACCACAGTTGAGGATCTCTATACTCTACACAAACTGTGACAAAACCACTACAGTTGAAGCTTTCTATACTGTAGACAAACAGTGACAAAACCACTACAGTTGAGGCTCTCTATACTCTAGACAAACTGTGACAAAACCACCACAGTTGAGGCTCTCTATACTCTACACAAACTGTGACAAGACCACTACAGTTAAGGCTCTCTATACTCTACACAAACTGTGACAAAACCACCACAGTTGAGGCTTTCTATACTCTAGACAAACTGTGACAAAACCATCATAATTGAGGCTCTCTATACTCTACACAAACTGTGACAAAACCACTACAGTTAAGGCTCTCTATACTCTACAGACAAACTGTGACAAAACCACTACAGTTGAGGCTTTCTATACTCTAGACAAACTGTGACAAAACCACCACAGTTGAGGCTCTCTATACTCTAGACAAACTGTGACAAAACCACTACAGTTGAGGCTCTCTATACTCTAGACAAACTGTGACAAAACCACCACAGTTGAGGCTCTCTATACTCTACACAAACTGTGACAAGACCACTACAGTTAAGGCTCTCTATACTCTACACAAACAGTGACAAAACCACTACAGTTGAGGTTCTCTATACTCTACATGAACTGTGACAAAACCACTACAGTTGAGGCTCTCTATACTCTACAAAAACTGTGACAAAACCACTACAGTTGAGGCTCTCTATACTCTACACAAACAGTGACAAAACCACTACAGTTGAGGCTCTCTATACTCTACACAAACCGTGACAAAACCACTACAGTTGAGGCTCTCTATACTCTACAAAAACTGTGACAAAACCATCATAGTTGAGGCTCTCTATACTCTACAAAAAATTTTGCTATCGACGACTTTCTTGGTGAGAGGCGACAAAAATCACTTATAATGGAGCTGTTGTGAGTGTATAAGTTAATATATAGTGTTTGGCTATTTCTGTTTAACCACAACTGAAATACTAAACGTAGATCTTTATTTTTTTCCGCAACACAAGTTATTTTACATTACGATTAAAACATATTTACGATTTATCTGAAAAACCGAGACAACTTTATAGTTTCTTCCTTTTTATTACTGTTTTACCAGAGTTTTGAACCATTACTCATGTTTGCCACATGAAAGTGAAGAGACTGGAATGAACAGTTTTAATGGGTGGGCTAGAAATAAAGACACCTATAACCCTTCTTTTAATGAGAGGTTAAACAAACTAATACATGGATCCAATTCAAATATTACTCTGACATCAGAAGACATAGACATGTTTATGAGACATTCCAAAACTTTAACACTCTTGACTGTCAGTTGATGGGAATATTGTGTAACCATGGAAACACTTAAGAAATCATAGAGAGTGGGAGGAAAGCTAAAGACGATACTATTTATATACAACTAACTTACATCAAAACTTTAGCACTCTTGACTGTCAGTTGATGGGAATATTGTGTAACCATGGAAACACTTAAGAAATCATAGAGAGTTGGAGGAGAGTTAAAGACGATACTATTTATGTACACCTAACTTACATCAAACTTTAGCACTCTTGACTGTCAGTTGATGGGAATATTGTGTAACCATGGAAACACTTACGAAATCATAGAGAGTTGGAGGAGAGTTAAAGACGATACTATTTATATACAACTAACTTACATCATATATGCTTTAGACAGCTATACACTCGGGTAAATCTATAACGCTTCAATATGTACTGGGTTTTTAGATTCACAATTTACAACTAGTAATGTATTAATTTGTGTTTTAAGAAATAATTTAAAAAGTTGGGGACTGAAGCCCTTTAGACCTGTATGTGGTCGCGTCCATGGAGAAGAATGAAATAAAATATGACCAGAAAGAATATGATTGTAGCCAATCGTCTCATGGAAGAACGACAGCTACCAATCGTGTAAGGTTTCCACCTTCACGCTCTAGCCCTTTGCTTGATTTAAATCATTGTCGTGATTACTCAAACCTTTTAAATATTGTTGTAAGTTGTATTGGTAGTTAACTTTTAGGATTAGTATTGTTATTTCTCTAATCTTTTAGATATTGTTGTAAGTTGTATTGGTAGTTAAATTTTAGGGTTAGTATTGTTATTTCTCTAATCTTTTAGATATTGTTGTAAGTTGTATTGGTAGTTAAATTTTAGGGTTAGTATTGTTATTTCTCTAATCTTTTAGATATTGTTGTAAGTTGTATTGGTAGTTAAATTTTAGGGTTAGTATTGTTATTTCTCTAATCTTTTAGATATTGTTGTAAGTTGTATTGGTAGTTAAATTTTAGGGTTAGTATTGTTATTTCTCTAATCGTTTAGATATTGTTGTAAGACGGATTGGTTTTCAGTGTTACGGTTATTATTATAACAGTAAAATCCTTTTTTTTTCTGATGGAAGATATTGTCGTGATTACTCCAATCTTTTAGATATTTTTGTATGATGAATTGGATTTTAAATTTTAGGGTTATTTTTATATCGGCAAATCCCTTTTTTTCTGATGGAGAATACCGTTGTTATTCTCTCCTTTTTATATATTGTTGTAAGACGGATTTTTTCAGTGTTAGAATTATTATTATAACAGTAAAATCCCCTTTTTCTGATGGAGAACATTGTTGTTCTTCTCTACTTTTTTATATATTGTTCTAAGACGGATTGGTTTTCAATGTTAGGGTTATTATTATAAGAGAAAAACCCTTTTTCTGATGGAAGATATTGTCGTGATTACTCTAATTTTTTAGATATTGTTGTAAGATGGATTGTTTGTTAAATTTTATGGTTATTTTTTGACAGCAAACCCCCTTTTCTGATGGAAAACATTGTTGTTGTTATTTCTCAAATCTTTAGATATTGTTGTAAAACTGATTGTTTTTCAGTGTTAGGGTTATTAGCACGGCAGTAAAATTCCTTTTTTTTTCCTGATGGAAAACATTGTTGTTATTTCTCTAAACTTTCAGATATTGTTGTAAGACGGATTGTTTTCAGTGTTAGGGTTTTTAACCGTAAGTTAATGAAGCAGTTATATAGCTAGTGACGCTATGAGTAACATTTGAAGCGTGCAACAAGTCCCGGAAAAGGCTTTTCTCGACTAACAGTAAAAAATACAAGGACATTTCAAATATTTTTAATGATCTAGAAGAACAGAATGTGTTTGTTTAAATTCATATTTTAAAACAGTATTGAAATATTTACATAATATTGATTATATCGTGGTAACTACAAACAGAAAACTTAGAAATACAGACTATTCCCTAAGTTAAAGTTAGAATACTCTTCTTGCGGAGTTGGTGATTACAAGTTTTATTTATAGAATTTCTATCTTCAACTGTTCTTAATGCAGCGACATCTATGTTTGAAGAAATATATAACTAACTCTGATACTTCTAGAGTAAAAACTTAATAGGTCTCTTCACCAAAACATATAAATATCGGTAAATAAATACAGATTATAGAACTATTAGTCGAACTTTGAATTTTCACCCTTCCCACAATCCCTCAGCAGTTCTAATCTCCCTAGTTTTGTACACATTCACAAATACTCCTGGTCAAAGAAATTTAAAGGTAAAACACATGGTTAGAATTTTCTGTCATAAGTTCTCAAACTTTACATTTTCATTCGCCTTGTCGTGAACATGTTTTATTTTTTCTTCTGCTGTAACTCGTGTACTGATTCTAAGAAGCAATTCCAATGTTCTTGTCATCTTTCGGTACTTGTTTCCTGTTGGTTTTCTTACTCAAAACAAATCATGTTACGGTTGTTGTACCACAGTAACTATAAAAATAGAACACAACAAAAAAAACTACAGATTACTTGATTTCTAAACAAAAACTGGGAAATTTACACCAATCTAAATATTCTTCGAACTTGAGAAACACCAACCCTTATTAGAATTGTGTGAAAGTCACTTTCTCATTGGCTGCTGTTGTGTAGGACGTTCTTTTTTTTTCATTACAATGATTCGCCAGTCTCATAAAAAAACAATAACGTTCAAAATCTTTGAGCCAGGAGTGCTGACGTATTTTGTGACGTCAACAAAGGAGTACTTCCAGGTTTGTAGTAGCACGCCCCACAGAAAGGAGAACAAGAAAGATTACCGACAGCACCGCCGCCTGGTGGATAGAATGGTCCTAGGCTATTGGCTAGTGCCATACACCTGCGAAATCGAGATAAGACATTAAGTTATTCATTTGAGTTTGTAATGAAAACAATTTTCAACATTAAATTTGTACAGTATTCAAACTTCATATACGTAATGTTATGATGATATTGATATTCAGTACTGAATATCAATATCATCATAACATCACTGAATATCAATATCATCATAACATTACTGAATATCAATATCATCATAACATCACTGAATATCAATATCATCATAACATTACTGAATATCAATATCATCATAACATTACTGAATATCAATATCATCATAACATCATTATGATGATATTGATATTCAGTAATGTTATATTATGATGATATTGATATTCAGTAATGTTATGATAATATTGATATTCAGTAATGTTATGGTGATATTGATATTCAGTAATGTTATGATGATATTGATATTCAGTAGTGTTATATTATGATGATATTGATATTCAGTAATGTTATGATGATATTGATATTGATATTCAGTAATGTTATATTATGATGATATTGCTATTCAGTAATGTTATGATGATATTGCTATTCAGTAATGTTATGATGATATTGCTATTCAGTAATGTTATGATGATATTGATATTCAGTAATGTTATGATGATACTGATATTCAGTAATGTTATATTATGATGATATTGATATTCAGTAATGTTATATTATGATGATATTGATATTCAGTAATGTTATGATGATATTGATATTCAGTAATGTTATGATAATATTGATATTCAGTAATGTTATATTATGATGATATTGATATTCAGTAATGTTATATTATGATGATATTGATTTATGATTTTCAAGAATTAGAAGAGTTTATGATAAGATTAGTTTAAACACACGATATTCGTCATATCCATTGCTGACGACGAGTTTCGCTTAATCCAGAACTCTTCAGGCTGATTGGGATACAACGAACACAGTAGTGGTCAGAATACTACAAGTCATTTGATACAACAACAACAATTGTTATGGTGTGAACGCCGTTTAGAAGCCGATGGCTTCTGGATTGAGTGAAACGCGTCGTCAGCAATGGATATGACGAATATCGTGTGTTTAAACTAATCTTATCATTTAATTCTTGAATAAAGAACTGGATAAAGAATGTAGTGTATAAAAATATTTTTGGTCTTATACTAATCTTTTATCACAAGTATAATTAATTATAATCATGTTTCATCAGCTTGAAAAAGGTGTTCACACCATAACAATTGTTTCGTTGTGTTCTCCAATAAGTAGCAAATTATTCATTGTTCCGTTAGAAATACATAGAAAAAGTCTACATGTTCAAAATTGGGGGTATTACCACTTTAATAGGTCTCTGAATACTCACAACTGTACAAGAAGATCATGGAGTAACATGTTTCCGTCATACGGTTAGTCTTAATAATCCAACAAATAGGGGAAAATATACAGCATTAAAAAACAAAACAATGTCAAACCAAGATATAAATTATGGAGTGTGAACTGGCGGAAGAGGGGCGCATTAAAGCTAATCGCCAGCTTTAGGTGGGTAATGATGTAGGAATTAAAAATAGAAGCAGGTGCGAGTTCCCAAGACCAAAATGTCCGACATCTCTGCACTTAGTTGTAGGCATATACACACGCATTAGTTACTGAAAATGAAATTAATTCTATTCCACATCCAAGTCTTGAAACTAAATATAATTCACAATACTACACCCTACATCTCAGATACCTCTGCTCCCAGGAAATATTTTCCAATTTCCTCAGAAATTCTACTTTCGTGTGATTTTCCTGTCTCATATTTAATTGCTTGATTTATATAGGTAATCTTACTGAGTGAGCAGAAGATGATTTATTAATATTTCTTATTTATTCCTTCCTACTTTCAGATTATTTAACTATTTTCAAATGTTTGTACGTCTGTATAGACGCTTGTCAACCATAGCAAAAAAATGTGTTTGCAATTCTAAAAAATATTTTGTGTAGAAAAAAAGCAAGATCACTAAGATACAGATAGATAGGAGCGGATAATTTGGTTATGTACTTGTTAAGCGCAAAGCTAAACAATGGGCTATCTGTGCTCTGCCAACCACGGGTATCGAAACCCGACATTTAGAGTCTGGGAAGAAGATACGGATAGAAATAGAGGTTTAGCCAAAACAAGGACTTTGAACTATCAAAACCGTGTTTCCAACTTTATGTACTTTAAGTTAAAAAAAAACTTTTATATAAGTTTAAACAATGTAATATAATAATCTTACAAATCACACTCATCATTGTATCACTAACTATAAAAGGCTTATTCCCTTTGTCACTCTTTGGAGAAAGCTTTCGTGCTCCTTTTTTGATAATTCTCAACAATATACATCGTCGCTTAGCAGCAAAACTATCACCTGATTCTTAGGCCAACTATGGTGTTTATGTTGAATGCTCAATATTCATGTTGATTTGTTGGAAAGGTTTGTTTTTTATTCTTTATTTTTTTATAACTACAGTGATATAACAGCAAAATAGTTTAATTCAGAAGTTTTATGAGTTGTAGCCAAAAGCGAAATAAAATATACCGAATAGTGTTTCATCTACGCCTTACGTTACATTTATGTATTAGGCCTAACACTTAAATTAGACTACAAATAGGCCTACTATTAGTAACGTTATAGAGTCAGTGTTTAAAAAGTTTTAAGTGGTAAATAAATGTTAGTTCATAAATATTATTTTGGTATTTTAACACATATATATTACCTACTTGGCCTTAAAACATAAAGAAAAATATACGTCTATTATTAACAAATATATTTTATCTTTTGTACAGTCAAAAGAGTTGAAAATGTGTGTCGGAATGTCCGCACTATGTTTTATACTAGCTGACCTAGAATACAGTGTAAAGGCTCAAGAGTGTAATTTAAGTCTCTTTCAGAGTGCACACGTACTTTTGTTCACGATAACGTTTCAATTTTCTGCGTACGTTTTACTAAAATTGTGATAATTATAGAATTACTTCGAGACTGATGAAATAAGTGAAGAGTGGATGCGTGTTTGACGTACAGGCAACAGTGGTTTCCCGTCATTTTTATACAAGTATACTGATAATCTAATAACACTTTTTAATGAATTTTAAATCGTGTATATATATATGTAGAAATATAGTTTTACGTATTCAGGAAGTTACGACATGTCAACCTCAGCCTAAACTCTACGTCGTTAACTGACATTAAATATTATAAATCCAACCAATTATTGTAGATTAGGGCAAGATAGAATCCGGTAAACTCACCTGCCTTCTTTTGACTAATCTCGTATATACACATAAACAGTACGTATACGATTAATAGTATTAATTTTCACTTAACGAAGCAAAGCTTCACGAGATATACGATAGGCGGATGTGATTAACTCAGCAGGTAGGTACTGTTTTGATCGCTTCTCTAGCCCGACTCATGTTATTTGGAAACCAAAATATTTTATTTGTCTCTGAGCTCAAATATTGGAATCTGTGAATGTCAAACAATCTAAATATAAATATTTAATTTGCAATTTATATAACTTTCCAAACGGAAATAGATCTCGTTTTACCGGAAAACACTTTGAACAGTGCACGTGCTGAAATGCTGAGGCTCGAGCCTCTTAATCGTAAGTGTTTTGTATGAATCTTTATTCAATTTAATAGCAGAATAATTGTGTTAAGCTTTGTCTTTTCGCATTTTCAACGTTTAATATAAAACGCCTTTTTATTGTATTACGAGCAAACAGAAATAAGAAAACAAAAAGGATTTACTAAATAATACTAAACTTCAGTGACAAACGAACGCGAAAAGAAACCGGATGAAATTTCATTATACACATAAATTATTAAGAATTTATATGATTATATAAGAATGCGAATGTAATATAGCAAAGTGTATTAAATTTAACATCCCACTAGCAACGCAACACGCATTAAATGTTCACAATTCTCCGTTCCCACCTCTGGGGGCCGGGGGGTGCTGGTGGTGGTCGATAGCCCGCTAAAATAAATGTGCGGCTAAACCTAAATTTCTCATTCCATATTTTCACCCCCCCCCCGTGGTTTTTGTGACTTAAGGCTCTAAAATGGGAACTGGGGGGTGGGGGTGGGGTATAACATCATGCTAAAATAAATGAACCAATACCTAGGATGTTCATAGATATACTCTTTCTACAGTCTGTTTAAGGGGGTTTATGAGAAGCCTACTAGAATTATAATGTTCCATAACCAACAAACTTCCTTTACAAGTATCGTGACAAGCTGTTCTTTCTAAGCGATAAAGTAGCCTTTAATCCTCTATGTTGTCTAACCCTCGAAATTAATTTTCAAATTACGATAAGAAATTACATTCTTGGGGTTGATAGATTACGCCATCTATATAAGAATACTTGTACTTTGATGGATAATGGATTAATATTAATGCACTTGAAAGAAACGAGATTGAAACACGCTTTCTAAGTGATGACTGCTCGTAGAAATCTTATTTACCAATGAAAAATAAATAACCTTCCGAAAAACTCCTGAACAGCACGTAAGAGATTTGGACCGCTATTATAAGCAGATTACCGAATGATGGACTGGTGTTACCGAGTAGAATTAATTTTATACAACACACCTAGATTATCTACTAAAATAGAGACTGGTGTCATGGAAAATATTTACTTAGGTTGAGTTTTCATACTGCAGGAATAAAAACTCTCAGTATTTAAAGCTTACTTAACGATCTCACGTCTTTCCTTCTGGAAACATTTCAACTAACACTGTGTGAGAACTGGAGGTTTATATTGTCAGCCAGACATCTACAGGTTTATACTGTCAGCCGGCACTTTGTGACATCTATAGGTTTGTATAGTCAGCCAGACATCTACAGGTTTATATTGTCAGCCGACACTTTGTGACATCTATAGGTTTGTATAGTCAGGTATCACTTTGTGACATCTATAGGTTTATATAGTCAGGTATCACTTTGTGACATCTATAGTTTTATATAGTCAGGTATCACTTTGTGACATCTATAGGTTTATATAGTCAGGTATCACTTTGTGACATCTATAGGTTTATATAGTCAGGTATCACTTTGTGACATCTATAGGTTTATATTGTCAGCCGGCACTTTGTGACATCTATAGGTTTATATAGTCAGGTATCACTTTGTGACATCTATAGTTTTATATAGTCAGGTATCACTTTGTGACATCTATAGGTTTATACTGTCAGCCGGCACTTTGTGACATCTATAGGTTTATATAGTCAGCCAGCACTTTGTGACACCTATAGGTTTATATAGTCAGATATCACTTTGTGACATCTATAGGTTTATATAGTCAGGTATCATTTTGTGACATCTATAGGTTTATATAGTCAGGTGTCACTTTGTGACATCTATAGGTTTATATTGTCAGCCGGCACTTTGTGACATTTATAGGTTTATATTGTCAGCCGGCACTTTGTGACATCTATAGGTTTATATAGTCAGGTATCACTTTGTGACATCTATAGGTTTATATAGTCAGGTATCACTTTGTGACATCTATAGTTTTATATAGTCAGGTATCACTTTGTGACACCTATAGGTTTATATAGTCAGGTATCACTTTGTGACATCTATAGGTTTGTATAGTCAGCCAGCACTTTGTGACATCTATAGTTTTATATAGTCAGGTATCACAATGTGACACCTATAGGTTTATATAGTCAGGTATCACAATGTGACACCTATAGGTTTATATAGTCAGGTATCACTTTGTGACACCTATAGGTTTATATAGTCAGGTATCACTTTGTGACACCTATAGGTTTGTATAGTAAGCCAGCACTTTGTGACATCTATAGTTTTATATAGTCAGGTATCACTTTGTGACATCTATAGGTTTATATAGTCAGGTATCACCTTGTGACACCTATAGGTTTATATAGTCAGGTATCACTTTGTGACATCTACAGATAAGGTTTATATAGTCAGGTATAGGTGTCACAAGGTGATACCTGACTATATAAACCTCATCTGTAGATGTCACAAGGTGACCCCTGACTATATCAACCTTATCTGTAGATGTCACAAAGTGATACCTGACTATATAAACCTCATCTGTAGATGTCACAAAGTGACACCTGACTATATAAACCTTATCTGTAGATGTCACAAAGTGATATCTTACTACATAAACCTTATCTGTAGATGTCACAAAGTGATAGGTTTATATAGTCAGGTATCACCTTGTGACATCTACAGATAAGGTTTATATAGTCAGGTATCACTTTGTGGCATCTACAGATGAGGTTTATATAGTCATGTGTCACCTTGTGACATCTACAGATAAGGTTTATATAGTCAGGTATCACTTTGTGACATCTACAGATGAGGTTTACGTAGTAAGGTATCACTTTGTGACATCTACAGATAAGGTTTATATAGTCAGGTATCACTTTGTGACATCTACAGATAAGGTTTATATAGTAAGGTATCACTTTGTGACATCTACAGATAAGGTTTATATAGTCAGGTATCACTTTGTGACATCTACAGATAAGGTTTATATAGTCAGGTGTCACTTTGTGACATCTACAGATAAGGTTTATATAGTAAGGTATCACTTTGTGACATCTACAGATGAGGTTTATATAGTCAGGTATCACTTTGTGACATCTACAGATGAGGTTTATATAGTCAGGTGTCACCTTGTGACATCTACAGATGAGGTTTATATAATCAGGTATCAACTTGTGACATATACAGATAAGGTTTATATAGTCAGGTGTCACCTTGTGACATCTACAGATAAGGTATATATAGTCAGGTGTCACCTTGTGACATCTACAGATAAGGTTTATATAGTCAGGTGTCACCTTGTGACATCTACAGATAAGGTTTATATAGTCAGGTGTCACCTTGTGACATCAACAGATGAGTTTTATATAGTCAGCTATGCTGTTAGCATTGAGATATAATAATTCTATAGTTAAACGAAGATTATATGTAAACAGTGTTTAGTGAAGGAGAAGAAACTAGTCGTAAAGAAATGATGACATGATATCCAAGATGTTTATTTAAAAGATAAAGAAAAGACATCAGATAAGAACTAGTGTCGAAAATAACACGAATTAATTATTAAAATCTGTAAAAAAGGACAAAAACTCTAAAGATGAAGTGAAAAATCTGTGAACAGAAACGATCATTTTTACAGATTTGATTTGGAGTATGTCACGTGCAAATATACGGTGATAACTACAGGTGCTAATGTACGGTGATAACTACAGGTCGAAATGTACGGTGATAACTACAGGTGCTAATGTACGGTGATAACTACAGGTCCAAATGTATGGTGATACCTACAGGTCCAAATGTACGGTGATAACTACAGGTCCAAATGTACGGTTACAACTACAGGTGCTAATGTACGATTATAACTACAGGTTCAAATGTACGGTGATAACTACAGGTTCAAATGTACGGTGATAACTACAGGTTCAAATATACGGTGATAATTACAGGTCCAAATGTACGGTGATAACTTCAGGTTCAAATGTACGGTGATAACTACAGATGCTAGTGTACGGTGATAACTAAAGCCAACTGATAAGGAAAGAAAGAGAATGAATAATAAGAACAAAAACAAATAGTTGAATTTGAAATTATTTTAAAGTTTATAAACTATTGTTTAAATTATAGTAAAGTAACAGAGAAATGAAATATTGTCTTCGTGTTAATGTGAGTAGTGGTGTTAATACTGTTGTTCATATAACAGTGAAAAGTAAGTGAATAAGCTATTGTTTAACAAGTAGTCTGAGCAGAAAGTGAACAAACTGTTGTTTAAATAGCAGTTTGAAAAGTAAATAACAAACTAGTCGTAAGAAATGAACAAACTGTTGTTTATGTAGTGGATGAATTAGTAAGTAAACCCAGTATTATTCAAATTGTAGTCTAAATGGCAGATACACAAAGTGTTGTTTAAACTGTAATCCAAGTTGTGTTTCATCATGTTTTGTGTAGTAGATATTAAAACGTTATACATGAATCGTTGTTTAAAGTTTGTTTCATTCTGTTGTGTGTATTAGAGTTAAGACGATGTTAAGTAACCGTTGTGTAAAGTTGTGTTTCATCATGTTTTGTGTAGTAGATATTAAAACGTTATACATGAATCGTTGTTTAAAGTTTGTTTCATTCTGTTGTGTGTATTAGAGTTAAAACGATGTTAAGTAACTGTTGTGTAAAGTTGTGTTTCATTCTGTTGTGTGCATTAGAGTTAAAACGATGTTAAGTAACTGTTGTGTTAAGTTGTGTCGAATCTGTGATCAAGTGTGAAGTTCTGAATGCGACAAAATGAATGTCGCTTGATTTTTGGAGAACGGAAATGAAACAAACAAAGAAAAGTGGTACCTGTATTGTTGGTCCATCTGAGCCTTTTCGATGCGTTTGTCTTTGGCTCGGCGGTTTTGGAACCAGATTTTGATCTGCGTTTCTGTCAAGTCTAGGTTTTCGGCGAGTTCGAAACGGCGGGGTCTGCTGATGTATTCGTTCCGGTGGTATTCCATCTCCAGCCGGAGTGTTTGTTCGCTGGTAAACGTTGTTCTCTGGCGGCGCTGTCTACCGTCCTTCCTCCGTCTTCTGTGAACTATTTAAATACAAAACTTTAATAAAAATTAAAAGAAACATCTCGTAAAACTGTTTGATAATCTCTGGGGGACGTAGAAAATAATATCCAGGATGGGGATAGTGTCAAGTAACACTGACGTTAGTCGTTTACGGGGACAAAGCTTGACAGTTGTAAAACCAAACTGATGAAAAAAATATTGATTGGTTTGGTTATTTTACAGCAAGACCACATTGGGCTATATGCTGTTTCCACCTCGAGGAATCGAACTCCGAATTTTAGCATTGTAAATCCGTAGACTTACTGCTGTCCCACCGGGGAACAAAAACTTTTGAAGTTGTACAAACGGTATCCGATTTTGACCAATAAGGAAACTGAAACCAATAGGTATGGTAGCATCACAGGCTTAATGACAGTAGCGACACCTACACGGAGGATTAAAAACTTACCGAAAGTTTAGAAAGTCGACTGTGTTAAGTCATACGGAGCGGAAGCGTTTAAAGAACCAAATAGTAAGTCATTAGATTTATCCTGTTTTCAAGATGTATTCTTTAAGTGTGTTTTAATGTTTCTTAGCGAAGAACAAGTTCCACCTTATACAGTTTGTTGTTGTACAATGTTTATACAGCGTCAAGGAAAGGATCGTTAAACAAAATAAACATATATTTATACAAATGTCATCAGAAGAGGACTTACATCATTGAATCGTCCAATCAGCTTGAAGTTCAACAGTGCGTTTTAGCTTTTACATAATGTTGACCGTTAAACCATCCAATATGATTTAAATCTGCTAAAATGTTGACCGTTAAAACATCCATTGAGACTTAAATCTACCAAAATGTTGACTGCTAAACCATCCAACGAGATTTATATCTTCCAAAATATTGTCCGTTAAAATTTCCCAAAAGATTTAACTCTCAGAGTTTGTTTTCACACTCCATCAGATCTATGAATATTAGTTCCCGTATCTTTCTGATTAATTGCGTCATAAAGTATTTCAACAAGTGATCTAGCAAGCGTTTCAGTAAATGAATTAGTGTCTCAATACTGTATTCATTAAAAGTCTCATAAGTGTTTCAACAAGTGGTGTGGTGTCTCAGTAAGTGACTCCTTAAGATTCCTTATTATTATTTCAATAACTTAAATAGTGTCTCAGTAAATGACTCCTTAAGATTCCTTATTATTATTTCAATAAGAGATATGGTGTCTCAGTAAGTGACTCCTTAAGATTCCTTATTATTATTTCAATAATTTAAATAGTGTCTCAGTAAGTGACTCCTTAAGATTCCTTATTATTATTTCAATAACTTAAATAGTGTCTCAGTAAGTGACTCCTTAAGATTCCTTATTATTATTTCAATAACTTAAATAGTGTCTCAGTAAGTTCCTCGTTAAATGTCTCAGTAATTATTTCAATAAATGACTAAAAGTATCATATTAATTATTTATCAGCAATTAAAATTCTTAAGTAGTAGACATGTAATTAAAAATTTACGTAAAAAACCAGACGTTTTTTACAATTAATATAGCCCCCTAGTGGCTCAGCGGTAAGTCTGAAGGCGCAGACCATTAAAAACCGGGATTCGATACCAGTGGTGTGAACAGCAAAGATAGCGCGTTGTGTTGATTTGGGCTTAAAACAAACAAACACTTAATATATGTTTACGCTCCAATAAAAAATAGCGTAAAAATACACAGATATAGAATTGATGAACGAAAAGCACCCAATAAATATACAGTATTGAATTAATACTTTGACCCTGATTCAAAAAGTTTCACCTTTCGAAATCACTCAGGTTACACTTGATTTGTTTAACCTGCGTATTTTCCTAACATCGTGGATCGAATAAATAAACATGAAGACATAGAATTACCGTGGGTTAGAATGTGAGTGTCTGGTTGTGACTAAACTAGAAACAAGAACGATTTATTATAAGTGTTGACTACCTTAATTCCTCACTAGAAGAAAACACTATAATAATAATACCCTCGAGCTTGTGTTGGCGGGAGCACGCGACAGATGGGAAGCGGTCTGGAACTTTCTTAAAAATTCTGAAGTAGCAAAATTAAATGTGATATCCGAGAGAAAAACGTAGAAGGTGAGCCATAAGACAGAACATTTCTTTGTTAATTTAAATTGAAATAAATCCTCCTGCTTTGTCACTATCGATGGGAAGTTTATCCCCGTTACGTGATTAGTCTCTCAGTTCTCCACGATGTATCAATACGCAGACCCCACATGTAACATACAATACAGATAGTTTGCTGATTGGCTATTACTTTTTTTTGTATCAGTACTTAAATCTATAGACTTTGTTGGTTAGAGATTACTTTTTTGTAGCAATATGTAAACCTACAGACTTTGCTTGTTGGAGATTACTTTTTTTATAGCAATACATAAACTACAGTCCTTGCTGGTTGGATAATACATTTTTTTTACAACCATACCTGAAAACACAGTCCTTGCTGGATGAAGAATACATTTTTTTACAACCATACCTGAACACACAGTCCTTGCTGGTTGGAGAATACATTTTTTTACAACCATAACTAAACACACAGTCCTTGCTGGTTGGATATTACATTTTTTACAGCCATACCTGAACACACAGTCCTTGCTGGTTGGAGAATACATTTTTTTACAACCATACATAAACACACAGTCCTTGCTGGTTGGAGATTACAATTTTTTACAACCATACCTAAACACACAGTCCTTGCTGGTTGGAGATTACAATTTTTTGCAACCATAACTAAACACACAGTCCTTGCTGGTTGGAGAATACATTTTTTTACAACTATACCTAAACACACAGTCCTTGCTGGTTGGAGAATACATTTTTCTTCAACCACACATAAACACACAGTCCTTGCTGGTTGGAGAATACATTTTTCT